GTGATGTGAACACAACCACCGGTTATCCTTGTTATCAGCTGGAAATAGCAAACGACAGAAGGGCCTTTCCTCAAAAGCCCGATTTTACTCTATTCACTTGTCAAACAAAAGGACACTAGAAGAGCTCGCTCTGCTACAGCAATCCTCAGGCTGCCTCTCGGCAGGGGGCGACAGCAGCCAGCCAAAAAGCCTTTATTTCAGTCTGAGAAAGAAAGGGCTCACAAAAGCAACGGGACGCCTCGCCGTTGCGGGCTATATAGCGCCTAGATTCCGAAGCCCAAATCCTCGGTAAAATGAGAATCTGCAACACAGGACGGTTGGCGCCGCATCCCGCCTCAGCTTTTGGTTGGGACCCACAAGGGGAAAGACACACACACACATACGCGCGCGCGCACAAAGAGAGTCCTGAAGGGAGATTCCAGCAGCTCTCCGTGCGCGCATTCCCACGTTCACCACCCCTGCTCCTTATTGTTCGGAGATTGGAAAGCTCAATGGCGCGCAGCAACCAGGGTCGGACTGCTGCAAAGGAAAACGCAAGCACGCTTCCACATCGTTTTGGCAACCTCCAAGGTGGACTGTTTGGGGTTCTGGAATACGTGCGTGTGAAACGAAGCCAAAGAGGGGCTGGGGGGGAAGCTCCCCGGCTGGCTGACCCAGCCACAGCATGCCTTTTCTTTTCCTCAAGAAGAGGGTTCCCCCCACCCTCCATCACTCGCTCGGCTACGAGGACCCCACCCATTCTCCCGTTCCCGCTGCGCCGCCGTTAGTCTTACCCGATCGCGAGAGGATTCATTGCACCGGAGCCTCTCCAGGCGGCTGCGGCTGATGCTGCTCCTGCAGCTGACTCGGACGCCTTCGCTTTAGTCCATGTTCCATGATCAAGTGTTACTCTCTGACATGTAACCATGTTACCCGGCAGCTGCCGACATTCGGTGCGTCCCCATTGGGCGCAGCAACAAAGAGAGGCGGACTTAAGAGACTCGGGAAGCAGCTCATAGAGGCGTTGCACACTTCTGATTGGTCGGAAGCTCGGCAGGCTAACAAGGCCAGCCCGGGAAATCTAATCGGTTAGCATCTCAAACCCCTCAGTCATATCAATACGAGCACGGACAGGGGGCTTTCTTCAGGAAGTAAGA